CCCCCCCCCCCCACACACACACAAACACAAACACACATCCAAGTTGTGACGATACGCGTCATGTCATGCAATGCAGGACGTTGCCTGTAGTGGTGGAGCAGTTCCAGCAGCTCAAGCTGAGCATCGCCTCTGTGACATGCGGCGGCGACCACACCATGGCCATCACCACACCAGCATAGTCCATCCAGCTCAGCTGGCGGGGCAGGCATCAGCGGCGGCCAAGATGACATCGATCGCATCACACACACGTGCGCGCAGCCGTGCATGACAATCGTATGCATGGGACAGAGACCGGTGGGGGACACCGTGAATTTGCAACTCAAGCGCAATCGCAAAGCGTCGAGCAACCAAAGATTTCAGCTCGCACGAGGGAGTCGATCGACCAATCGGTTCTTTCTTTCCTGGCAGGCTGGTGAGCCAGGGCGCAGCGCCTGCAGCCGATTACAGCCGCTCGGCACCGCCTTCCACTGTCTTTCAATCGGCCCCACCGACCCTGACCACAAGTCAGGATGGCGCGCGCCCCGCGAAGAGCCGACAGAGGGCAGAATGCCGACCCGCTCAATCACGACGACTCGATGCTCATGGTGCCCCCGCCGGGCTATAAGTTCATTCCGAAGCGCGAGACGGTGTGCGGCAAGCCCGGCTGCTTCGAGTGCTTTGACATCTACTGCGAGCGGTGCGAAATGAAGGACAGACGCATCGTCGAACTCGAAATGAGGAACAACGACCTCGTCAAGTACATCACACTGCTCCAGGGGCGCATCTTCGGCACTCGGGCCGGTGCGGCGGGAGGGAGCTCGCCGTCGGGCGCTGGGCTGCCTGGGAGTGCCGTTGGGGGGCTCGGGGCGACGCCAGGTGGAGGGGGCGGCACCAAGCCGCCACTGGTGACGGGGGAGCCTTTCGCCTTCATCCAGTCGCCCGTCTTGTACGACCCCCATTTGAACATCTCGTACATCGCCACGACCACCTTCAGCCCAGCGCCACACGACGAGGTGCTCAAGCCGGAGGGGGCTGGTGGTGGTATGGGTGGCGGTGGTTCCAGTGCAAACCCTGTGGGGACGTGGGGCAGACAGGGGGGATGAACTGATATGATGACGGCGGCATGCGTCCCCCCTGTGAGTTTCTGTGAGTTTGTGTTCGTCGGGGGGGGGGG